GACTAAGACAGACTAGGAAGAAGGACCTGGCCACCTAATTCCAAAAAATTTGGAGTGAAAACCCTGTGAATAGCAGCAGAGTATTGTCTGATAGAGCGCCAGAAGGGGAGAGGATGGAGCCAAAAGAGCAGGCAGGGTTCTGCTCTGCTGTCTACAGGGTCACTAGGGGTTGGAATTGACGGCACTAACAAAAATAATAACAATAATGAGCTAATAACATATGTAGAACACTTAGTCCATGGCATATTGCAAGCACTTACTAGATGCTAAGCGATATGATGATGAAGATGACAACTCCTTTAGTTTTTGATGGATCTTAGCTGCAAAGTCCATGGATGAGTATGAGCCGGAACTATCCCTTGTAAGCCCATGTTGTTGCAATATAGATGAGTGATTGGACCAAATGTGAACCACCATGATTCTTTCTTTCTTGACTAACTGACCTATCCTTTTTTTAAACAAAGATTTGTTTGTTATACTGTATGCAAAACAATTTGCGCATACAAAATCTCATCTGACTCTCAAAATGACCTGGTAATAAAAACATTTTCATTCTCTTCCCCACTTTACCAATTAAAAACAGAAACTCTCGGTAGTTAAGGGGCGTACTTCAAATCACAGAGCATCAAGTGGCAAAGATACAAATCAGAGCCAGTTTTCTGACTCCACCCAGGAGCTTCTCAGTACACCACCCCATTTAAATTGTGGAAAATTCACTAGAGCTCTGCTCTCACTGGCCACACGTAACTTTTAATTTCCAACTATTTCTGGATGCTCATGCTTCCTTCTGGTTCTTAATGAACTTGTAATGTCATCTTACGAGATGTTGTTAACCTCTGGCCTCAGGCTCTGAAGACTCTTGCCAACCTCTTATTTTCTTTCCCCTTTAAAAATTATTATTCTAGAATTATAGGATGTCTCGAAAATAAAAAATGTCTCACAACGCCCACTCTTCAACACTGGTTTTCCTTTCCTTTCTTTCTTCTTTCCTTCCTATTTATTCCGCAACATTTATTGACAAACAGCCATTGACAACACCTGACATGCTAGGTATTTTGCTAATTGCTGGGAACAAAAAGAAATAATAATTGAATTTGTAAACTTGCTCTCTGATCTTCCTACTTCCTTTCTATATCATTTCCATTAAAAGAAGTGATTTTTTTTTTTTTTTTTAGTGAAGAAGATTGGCCCTGAGCTAACATCTGTTGCCAATCCTCCTCTTTTTTCTTGAGGAAGATTAGCCCTGAGCTAACATCTGTGCCAATCTTCCTCTGTTTTGTATGTGGGATGCCACCACAGCATGGCTGGATGAGCGATGCATAGGTCCGTGCCTGGATCCGAACCGGCGAACCCTGGGCCACTGAAGGGTCTGAACGGCTCGAACTTAACAACTATGCCACCGGGTGGGTCCCCCTGATTTCCTTGTTGAATTCTTTAAATTGTAGTGTCAAAACACTTTGTTAATTCAATCTAATATAAAAACAACCTTTCCACTTGTACAACTAGCTACAAATGTTTTCTACCTATCTATCTTAATTAATGAGCAAGTTCATATGCACACGGTTTACATTGTTTTTCAGGTTTTTCTTTTTTGCATCAGAGTCCTTGTTTGTCTTTTCAAGTTTACTTATATACTCTGTAATCTACTGAATCAAAATCAACGATCTTTTTTTTAAGTAGGTCTCAAGGTTCACACTTCACCTTTATTCTGTTTAACTTCCTTAAAAACTAAGCCCACGTATTTCTCAAAACTCTATGAACTGACTAGCAGTTTAATGCCAAAATAGAACCACAGAAGTCAATGTTGCCTTTCTACATCCACACCAGAGTCAAATTGGAGTCGGGCTTCTCCGTAAACCTGTTTGGTTTAAGTTGTGCTCATAGGGGGCTTATCATTCACGTGGGGAAGAAGGCACAATACTCATGCCCCTTCCTTCAGATCTGGAGGTTTTCACTTTTCCGTCACCCTCTTTAAATCCTCATGTGTTAAATTCTTGACATGTCTCTATTTTGATAATAAAATTTTCTAAGCCAGATCTAGGTCATCTCTCATTTGCTCTACTGTACTAATTTCTACAGAGAGATTCTCACTGTAAGATAATACTGGCATGAATTCATTCATTCTCCAAGAAGAAACAAATAAGATAAAAACAAAAGATACATTTTAAACGTCCCAATTTAGACTTCTATAAGACCCAACCCTCTACAAGTAAGATTAAACTGTGCCTAAAATATTTGTAGTGAGGTGTATGGTATGCACAGGTTCGGACAGGGCCAGACAAATTCTCCTTTTTTATTATTATGTCCTTAAGAAAAAAATAAGCAGATGCTCTCTCTTTCCCTCAGCCCTCTAGTAATCATGCAGTCAGTTACACAGGCTACTGCTTTACTGCATTTATTCCTCATTCCAATAATGCGGAGTGTAGTGCCACTGGAAGCATTGAATAGTATATCTTTTAAGTGGTAATAACATCAGGAAATTCAATCTGGTTCATAAAAATGGCAAAAAAGTATCATGACACACATTCTCTCTAAAGAAATGGCACGTCCTAGAAATGACACGTATCAGCTTTATGAGAAAGTCTCTTGCCTTGGAAAGTGCAGTGTTTCAGCATGCATAACAACATGTATTGTCATACATGAAGTATGATACAGATGAAACAGCCAACTCTCCCATTTTACACTGCACTGATCAGACATTTATTTATATACCATAATAAATTCTGTATTCCACAACCAAAGGACTTTGTAGAAGGCTCAGAGTAGATATATGAAGCAATTAAAGGATTGAAAATAAGCTGTAGAAAAGAAGATGAAAGGAAGTGGGCTTATTTGGCCTAGAAATGTATGCTTACACTTTTATATGCCCATTTAGGCTTTTTATATTTCCATTGAGGAAAAAACTCATAGAACTGGAAATAGGCTGCAGCAATAGAGATTCAAGTTAGATAAAAGAAAGTCTGGGTACATGAGACTCTTAAACTGATTCCACTGGGGGGTAGTGATATCTCCTCTGAGTGTCACTGGTTGGGGTAAGTTCATTATGATACCATTTGAATACAGGGATATGAGTCAGACAAGCTCTTTTCTAGCGCTATGTTTTTAAGAAACATCAGTTTAAAATTAATATAATTATTAGCATATGGATCGATTTTGTTGGCGTAATCATAAAATGTAACAAAATGTTCACAAGCAGTTACTCCTTTAAAGTATTTGTTGAAGGCATATAAAATCTTTTGGAGAAAACTTTTACATTTGAGAAAATTTCATTACTTAGTAAATTTGATTCTTTTTTAAAACTATGATTGTTTTTTTTTCCACACAGTAACACTGGTGGCAGCTTTAGCCTTCCTTTTTCTTTTTAAGAGGCACTCCAATTTTCTGTCTAAAAGTAGCCTTCTGCTGGACATGTTCATACTTTATTCTGCATAATTAGTAGCTGAGAGCAAGATGATGTAGTATAAAGACATGTGAATTATGAAACAAGGTGCTGTGGTTCTGCTGCCATCTGCTCTACTAGCTAGTGATGTGACCTTGGACAGGTCACTTCTGCACGTCCTTCCTCAGCTCCCTTGTGGCAACCTAAGGACAGCGTCAGAAGAGTGATGTCTTAGGTTCTTTCCTGCCTTGAAATTCTATTGAGGGATTTTATTAAATCATAATTTAGATGTCAGTATTTTATTTTTTAACATACTTAAAAGTATGTTTTTTATCATATTTAAAAGTCTGAACACAACTTAAGTTGTTAGTGAGTAGTTAAAATTCATCAATATAAGTTATTCTAGCATAGAATTTGAGAATAATTAGCTCATACAGCAAATGGTCACCTTGTACTATGTAAAAGTTTATAATGAAAACACTTGATTTCTTACGATCCAACTGTCAAATGGCTCTCATCTTTCATTTAGTAAATTTCCTGTTTTTCTAATAGATTTGTGGATATATATGAACATCTGTTCCCTTCACATACCATTTCATATTATTTCTATTAAATAATGATTTTCATTCTAAATATTCGGAAACATAAATATAACATAAATATAATAGTATGTTATGCATTAAAAGTCCATGCTATTTCAGCAATTACTAAACTTCTGTCCTCATATATCGCACATTTAAACATTTAAGACACCTTAAAGACACTACAGCATCACGGAAATGTAATTTTATGATTACCTGAATTATGAACACATGATCGGTTTCCCAAATGATTGTAGTGATTTCTGGCTGCCTTCAAATAGTAGTAATGAATGTCATTGTCACTGAGATTTACTTCAATTATTCAAAAATATTCACACAAAATATTTCCTGAGCACTGACTCCAGGAATGTTAATATAAATTAAATCTAACTCTGATATTTAAATTTTTGAAAATCAGATTAAATATTATTTAGGATAGAAATAATTTCTGAAATTTCATGTGTTTAGTTTTTTTTTTTTTTTTAATGAAACTTTCAAGCTGCACATTAAGAGCTTGACCTGTGGTTGAAACTGGTTTGGGGAAACATTGAGGAATCCAATCTTCATATTTTAAATGTGACACAAAATATCCTTTGGAGATTCATTATTAAGAAAAGTCACTCTAGCGCTGTCTACTGTCCCTGTTGGCAAAAGAAGGAGAGATAGATAAAAAGAATTCATTTACACCTCACACTTTTGTGTGAGAATAAGTATTTGTTTCATATTATGCCATGTAGTAGGAAACCTGGTCTTGTAGCTCTATTCATAAATAAGTTAAGAATAAAAAAGGATTAAAATAAAATCTTAGTTTATGGACGAAAAGACTAAAATCTTTATGGAGCCTATTTTAGAATTGACATTTTGCTAAAACAACGTGACTCACAGTTTTCTACTTACTAAAACATTTTCCACTTCTGATTTCATGGCTCTAAAACCTAGGAAATCACCACTCTGTGCAAGATGCTAACGTTTCTCTCAATCTTTCTGCCCTTTCAAAGATCGCCTCCAAGTATAAAGAGAGAGAGTCCACAGCGTCTTACCTAGAGATCGAGGAGCTGAAACTCCAAGGCATGACAGTGTTCAACACTCAGTCTAGGAGAGAAGTCCGTTCCCGTTAGTTTCTCCAAAATATAAGTTCACATTTCGTGGCTGAGATCATGGCTCTATTCTAAGCAGTTTTACGCAGTGTGTGATTCTAACAAAAACACCCTCTGCAGCTGGAGGGAGCCTTCGCTAACGCAGGAGTCTGTCAAGGCGTTCCTAGTGACTTCTGTCTACTAAATTCAGACTGATGTTTTGCGAAAGGGGCCTCCACAACCAGGCCCAGATTGCCTGGAAGCATTTCCTGCCTCTGAGTAGTGCATGTGAGAAAGACTGCACGACGCGGAGGGGAGGGGGAGAGAGCAGAGCCCGCCTGGGCGTTTTAGGAGTTCTGATTTTACACAGAACTGAAGTGAGTTTGTCAAAGCTCTTGAGGTGATTAGCTGGAGAGTCATAAAGTCGTAGAGTTTTTTCTATCCCACTCTGCTTATGAAAAAAACAAAAAAAAAAAAAAGGAAAGAAAACGTAGTTCCCTCCCCTCATCTACAACCTTTCCACTATGCTAAATGTATATACACAACTTAATCAAAATACCTTTGCAGTGCTCGTTTCAAAAGATCTTTCAAGAGAGCAAGATGCATGTTAATACCGTAATTCTTCTAAATTTGAAATCCTTTTTTACATTACTTACAATTTAAAATGCTGTAGCCTTTTACATACTCTACCTGAGAGGATCTGTAAGTAAAATCCCAAGAATCCAGTAAATAGAACGTTTTCTTCAAGATCTTTCCAATCCCAAGAATCCTTCACAGAATTAAAGTAGTCTGCGTCTTGGCATATGGAACATTACCTCTAGTCAGAATCCTCCAGTTACACAAATCCAGGGCTGGAAAAGCAGAAGACAGACTCCATCTTGATCTTATTACAGTCTTGCTGACATTAACCACTTGCAACCGCTTCCATCTAGCATGACAGAGTCCCTGAATCACGTCTCTAAAGCAGTTCACAGTATCGGCATCCTTCGTCCGACACAAATTTTGTGAACTATCATCTGTTTATCTTTTCTGCTTTCTTGTGCCTCCCCTGAATGACTTCCTCCTAGCTGCTCCAGGCTGGGAACTTGGACTACCATTTGGTTTTGATTAAAACCAGACAGCCAACTCTGGAGAATTTAGGGAATAAGCTAATGGAAATTGCAAGTATGGCTTTAATTAGTGCACCAATTAATAATAGATGTTAGCTCGTCTTATAATAAGATGACACAAATATAAACGCCGAGGAAGCTCGAGTCCTTTCAGGAAAGAAGTTACACCAATTCTCATTCCTTTATGACCCAGAATTCTCCTTAGGGAAAGTGGAAGGAGAGGAGAGAGATGTGGTCTTGAGACATCCAGGTTGTGGAGAGGCCAGTGGGGCAGCTTCGTTGTTTATACAGAAAAACAGGAAACAGCATCTCTGAGTTTAATTATCTTGCTTAGTTGAAATTGCTCAGTAATGTCTCCCTTCTACTTTATTTATCAATCTATTTATCAATAGATTCTCTTGCTCTTTATGACTTAAGCATTTTTTTCAGTGATTAGTGATCAGATTAATCTGATTATTGGCTCTATGTGTGGCTTGCAGATTTCTAAAGATTTCCAATAACGGGAGGCATAAGAACAATTCCAATTTCAATACGATAAATGAGTAACATATAAAGAGGTACAAGAAATATTAAACCTCTTAGCCCTCATATCCATCCTGTATGTCTCTGAAATTGTAAGTAGTTTTCATTATTCGCTTTTTTTAATAATTTTATTTTTATTTATTTATTTTTTTCCTCCAAAGCCCCAGTAGATAGTTGTATGTCATAGCTGCACATCCTTCTAGTTGCTGTACATGGGACGCGGCCTCAGCATGGCCGCAGAAGCAGTGCGTTGGTGCGCGCCCGGGATGGGAACCCGGGCCGCCAGCAGCGGAGCGTGCGCACTTAACCGCTAAGCCACAGGCTGGCCCTCGTTATTCACTTTTATTCTCAGTTGGCTCTAATTTTTATAAAGGTTGACAGATACCTGGATATCACATGGCTATCTTCTTAGTACTCCCTGAGAATATTGGGTAGGTAATAACTCAAAGAAGTATGATATTATAGCTACTATTTCTTTTCTTCTTGGATAATTAAAATCTTTCAAAATTAATGCAAAGCATGGACTATGAGAGAGATATTAGATGGCAAGAATAACTTTGCACATGGATTTGAAGATGAGAAGCATTTAAATAAAAACGTGGGCAGAAGTAATTTTTAAAAGTTTATATCAAAACATTACTGATTAAAAAATAAGCATTTAGATGCCTTTAATTTAACCTTTAACCATATGGCAAGAAGGAAGTCCATGCTTTCACAAATTCTTTAAAAAGTTATTTATATTCATATCCAAAATACATCCACCGAAACTATGCCCATTTAATCTTCCCAACAATCTTTGTGTGTATTCTTATTTTTATTTTACAGATAAAGCATTAGAAATTTGTGGAAGTATTTTTCTTGCAATCAAATGATGGAAAGCGGCCAAGTCCACATTGGAACCCAGATTTTCTAACTCTCAATTTTTTGCTTTTTCCCTCCCTATCAGAGTTCAGCTGCCTCTCTTGGCTCCCACTTAATTGCTGTGTGAAATTGGGAAGACTTCTGAAACTCTCTGAGTTTCAGATTCCTCTTTAAAAATAGGGATCATTCCACATAACTTGCAGATTGGAAAGCAGGATTAACTTTATATACACATATATTTATAAATTTATATTTATTTCCCTTAGGAAAACACTGGCGTAGAATGGAATGAGAATTGATGTAACTTCTTTCCTAAAATAACTTGTATATCTCTATCTCTATCTCTGCCTCTAGCATATAGTGTGTGCTCAATAAGTATTAGCATTCCGCTAGTTCTTCTTAGCTAGATTTCCTCATGAGTACTATAATCCTCCCCCATATAATTTAGCCTTGTTTTTGTTTATATTGGCCTGAGGAAATAACAAAACCGTATTCATATACATTTATAAATGCCTTTTTAGATATCTAGACACTCTTATTAGCAATTTTCTCCTTAACATGCTCTTCTCTAAACAAATAAGAGTTCATGCTTTATGCTATTATTAGAGGATTACTTCCCAAATCTTTAATCACTCATTTATTTTTCATCCTTCATTTGCCTGACTCCAAACAAGTCTCAGGACTTATATCCTCATGAAGGCTTTACCAAATATGAGTATAAAGATAAATAATGAGATAATTTCCTAAATATTTAACATAGCGTCAGGCACGCAGAAGGGGTCCAAAATGTTTGTCCCCTTCTCTCTTCTACTTGTAAATCTAAATACATAACTCCCTTAAATATTTGCCCATTACACTATACTAGATCAGCTAATAAAATATGGCACAGAGACAGTTAAAAAGTTGAAAACAGAGTATCAGGATAGGAGTCTGGCTCCAAAACTAACAACCATGATGACCCCGTGCAAGCTACTTAACCTGTGTAAGCCTCTGTGTTAGCCTCTGGATCTAATGGTTTTTCAAAATTAGAGATGACAGGCCATGTAAAGCCATTAGTATTCATTGTTAACCAGAATTATTGTTACCTTTTAAATGATTGTTCTTTTTCATCTTTACATCTCTCTTCTGTGAAGACTTTTTAAAGAATCTATCTGCATATTGAACTCTGCATTAAATGTATGTGTTCGGAATAGTTTTATTGGTGGAGCAATTATATACTATTTTTTCTTAAGAAAAGAGAGTAGCAGGGGCCGGCCCTGCGGCTGAGTGGTTAAAGTTCTGCATGCTCCGCTTTGGCAGCCCCGGTTCATGGGTTTGGATCCTGGGAACAGACCTACACCACTCATCAAGCCGTGCTGTGGCAGTGACCCACATACAAAATAGATGAAGATTGGCACAGATATTAGCTTGGGGCTAATCTTCCTCAAAAGAGAAAAGAGGAAGATTGGCAACAGTTGTTAGCTCAGGGCAAATCTTCCTCAGCAAAAAAAAAAAGAAAGAAAAGAGAGTAGCAGAATGAGGATTGAAAGTTATTGTGGAGATCAGGTTTCTTCCCATGTCCTGTGAGCTAAACAATAACATCGACTATGATTGACTAGTTAGTCCCCAGTTACCTTCAGGAAATCTGAATCTGGACTTGTTTTAAAGAATTGTTCAATGACTCTAAGGCAATCCAACAAACTTTTGACCATGCAAAGTGACACCTATCATTTGAAAAGAATGTTTTACTCTTTATAAATTGAGTAGCAAACATCATTAATTCAGCACCCACATTTAACATTTGTGATATTGTGAGTGTAAGTAGGCTTTTATTCTTTCCATTTTTATGAAGAAATAGTATCATAAGAGTAATGAACTGAAAATTAATGTATAAAGAGAATGAAGGCCTTTAAAGCACTTTAGAAGTGTCCTCACAGATACAGTTAGTGTAATAAACGTAAGAGTACTTTGCCTATGAAAACTGATCCTCCAAAAATCTGTATTTAACAACTTTGCTTGAAATGTATTAGAGTTATACATATATGTCAAAGTAATAAAAACAGAATGTATTTGACAGGATTTCTAGCTAATTTTTTCAGTAATTTTTACATGTACTTTTTAAAAATGGGTTCCTGTTGATAGACACACACTTACCTAGGAAAAAAATACAATTTTGTAGTTTGTATTTGATAATCTGCATGTGCATTATTCATTTTTTGACCACCTTTGTCAAACTTTTGACACTCCACTTTCACTAAACATTTAGCATTCAACCAGAAGTATTTATTAAAGGAACACAATTAAGTTTGATGATAGACTAACAAAAGGATCAAAATCATATAAATTCTCCAAAACCAATTGTACCTGCTTCCTGGATTATTATGTTTATGGCTTCCCTTCATTGAAAAATATTACAACCCAAGAATAACTGTGGAAAAAAAAAATCTTGATAAATTTCAAATAGCTTTGAAAACATAAACTTTCCATGTAGTAAAAAAAATTATATTGGCACAGACACAAGAGTGTATGTGGTCTCAGGAACTGATGAATCTCCCTGCCTGTCCCATAGGGCCAGGATACTCTCAGAAGCATGAACATTCTAAGCCATGCAAGATTTATTTTAGAGAGGTCTGGGTGTGCCCATCCAGTAGAGGCTGAGGTTCTTTGTATGTCACACAGTGAGGTTCTTTCTTTGTTCTATATGAAAACTTAAGCTAACATTACTACGTGGCACACTTCAGCATCCTTGCTAAGCTTTACCATAATATTCTCTGAAATTCTCATTTCATGGCCAAAAAATATCCCTGTG